CTACTCTATTTCCGTAAAGCCGACTTTTGGGTGCTGTCAAAATTGTTGAAAATCGAAGAAACCTTCTCAGTCAAAGTTGTCTGACTTATTTAATGTTTATAAAATACTTTTCATTATTTATTTTTAAAAAATTTATATTTTTTTAATTTTATGTTTACTTATTATTTTTATATATTTAATATAATTTAATTTTAATGTCGTAAATGCAATAATTTCGTATCAAAGTTGATGAGGGTACGGCTAAAAGAAAGAGAGATGCAGGAGAATGGGATAAAAAGAGAGCATAGCCAAAAAAAAGCCCACTTAGAAAACTTCTCTGAATTTAATAGGCAGAGAGTTTGTTTAGTTCAACCAATTCTCTTAACTTTATTTCACATGTATATTTATTTCATAAATATATTCTTCTCTTATTCATTCGTTCAGCTCACATTCTTAACTGATTAATAATCGCCCGAGTTAATGTGTATCAATTTAAATTGTTCGATTAGTCAGCTGGTATAGAGAGAGAGAGAGAGAGAGAGAGAGAGAGAGAGGGAGAAAAACCCGCTTAGCTGGAAACCTTCAATCACTTCTGCTTCTTCTTCATTATCAGCTACATGGCCCGCACTTAACATGCATTTTAGCGCCTGTCTCAAGTTCGAATGGAAATGAGTTCGATGTGTTTATTTATTTTATTGCCCACTCTTTCGAATGGAAACGTGATAATCATTGCTAAACCGAAAAGCCCTAAGTCAACTAATCCAGTACAAATAGATCGCTCGTATGTTTATCAAAATTTTAGTACATATATGTATATTGAGATCGATTTATATATCCATCGGCGACAACGATGAATGAATGTGCGTTGTCAAACCAGATTTGCAGCTTCGATTTCATAGACCAGTCTCCATCCACGTGTCTGCATCAGGGCCCCAATTGGCATCTGCGTCTGCGTCTGCGTCTGCGTCAGCGTCTGTTCATGCCGGAACATTAAAGCCCAAAAATGTATGACGATTACTTTGGCTAATGCCGGTTTTTCAACACAGGTGGGCAGCATACAGTTTCGCTGGTGGGTTGACTGAGAGCAGTGCCCAAAATGAGTTTGCTAAGCTGCTGCAGTTCATGGCAGTGCTGCTATTAGATACCCTGTATAAATGGCAATGTGCTAGAAGAGCTAAGGAATGTAAGAGAGAGAGAGAGAAATTAATTAATTTATTTAGTTATTCCACTACTAGAATCCCAGTCTATGTCTACGAGTTAGAAGAGCTTAAAGAGACTAAAGTATTTAATTTAATGATGATATTTATCAGTGAATATGCTTTAAGTGGCATTTTAGACATATTTATTATAATTTACAGCGATGTCTCAGATATCTAACAATGTCTCAAAATGATACTAAATAATTAAGTAATTATAGAGTTTTTAATTATGACTCAAAATGTGTGAAGCCAGTTAGTTAATTGGTCAAGTGAACATCTGTTGAATCTTAATTCACTCTTCCGTGTTTATCTCGCTGAGTGCACTGCACAACATAAACTTCAACTAAATATCAAAGTAAACTTATCATAATATATTTGTAATAAATAATACACCAGTAAACAGTGGCATGCCCAGAATTTATACTTTAATTTACAACTAAATGCTTGGCTTTTCTCTAGTTAGGTAATAAAACAAGTTGGCGAGTTCAATATCTGCAGTGACACATACCGGTTGCCACACCTCTACGCCTTCTCCTGCCTCTTGAGCTATGCAGCGTATTCAAGCTTCCAACTTGGCCGATTCTCTCGACGGTATGATGCCATTCTTTTTTGTTTATTTACGATCACAAATGCAAATGCAATACCAAACCCATATGTGGATCAAATACGAATGGTACGTGTGTTTGTATAGCAGCACATTTTGAATACCCTGCCGTTGCTAAAGGAGGTCATGATGGAATTTGATGTTGCATCAAATTTGTAAGTACTTAAAGCAGTGTTAAATATAGATTAATTACTCAAGCAAAGATTTTGGAGTATGCGAGTTTCATAAGTGAATTCATGATATTTATGTTTTTATATTAAGTATACGCAGAGTAAAAATTTAGATATTTGAATAAGTTTTTTAATCCTGGACAAATTATATTGAAGCCGACTTAGATAGAGAGGGAGAAAGAGAGAGAGAGAGAGAATCGACCTCTCTTATCTGTACATCTGTAAATCTATACAGGGTATCTGCCAGTTGACACTCCCGGCTAAGGCAAACACGAAATGAAATGTTTTATTGTAATTCATGTTTTATTTATAAATTATAAAATCGATTTTATTTTTTTAGCCACACAATAATTTGCACAATATTATTTCTATTTTATTTTGTTTTGTTTTTCTACTTCTTCTTCTCCTTCATCTTCTTCTCTTTCTTTTAGTTTATCACAATATATTTAAATATTTCGCTCGTTTAGAATTTGGAAAAATCCAGCACGAAAATGTCTTTTTCTGTCGATATTGTTGTTGTTGTTGTTGTTGTTGTTCTTGCTGTGATGTTGTATGACAAGTTGACCCTGACAAGGTCATTTTTGGTGATTGGTATGTGTGGTGCGCGCTTAGGAGCGATTCACTGATGAATAGCCATAGAGCACCTCAACGCCATCGGAGTTGAAGATGCGCTCGATGCGCGGTGCACGCGTTGCCTTAGTTAGCAGCTCGGTGGTTGGTTTGCTGGTGGTGGTGCTGCTGGTCAGTGGTGCCTCTGTTGTGCTAGCAGGCGCCACTGTCGTTGCTGCTGCAGCTTCTGTGGTCCCCTGGATAGGCGCAGCCTCGAACAGGCTCTGTTGCTTGGGTGGTGCAAGTGTGCTTTCGGTGCCTGGCTCGGTGGTGCTCTCTCCCTCAATGCTGGCCGTGTCAAACGTCGTCTGCATGACGGACTCTTCTGTGGTAATTAACCTTGCCTCCGGCTCAACGCCCGGTCTTTGGGTAATCATGTTCAGACTCAGGCGGCTCAGCAGATGCATTATGCTGCGCTCCGTGGTGCTGTTGCTGTTGCTGGCTTCAGTGATCATCTCTGCCTGGGGCTCGTACTCGGCCTCTGGCGGCTGTGTGGTCATGAATCGCATCGCATCCATTTCGGTAGTGGACTCGACCCGAGCGGACATGCTTTCCATAAATGTGTTCTGCTCCGCCAGCGACGACTCCGTGCCCGATGCCATTGCGTCCATTGAGAACGAGCCGCTGGTATTGAAATCTATCAGTGGCACATTCGTCGTCGGCTCGCTGCCGTAGGACTCGGCCTCCTCGGCGATCATGGCGGTTTGCTCCGTGGTCATGTAGCCGCCCATTTCTCCGAGGGACGACAGGGACTCCAGGCTCATCTCCTGGCTTTCTTCAACGAGCCTCGACATGGTTGACTTCGGGTTGAGCAAGCTGTGAGACTTCTCCAGGGCCGCGAGCTCAGTGACTGACTCTGGTTGCATTGTTGTCATTGCCAGGGTAGCAGTTGTTGTGGCTGCTTCCTGAGTTGTTGTATTTATTGTTGTTGGTGTTGTGGTTGCTCCAGTTGTTGCATTTGTGGGTGCCACTGTCGTTGTCTCAACCGCAGCCGTGCTCTCCTCTGTAGTAGTTGGCGCCTTAGTTGTCAGCCGGCCGTCCCGCTCCGCTCGCTCCTGCTCCAGCTGCTGCACCACTGAGTCGGGCAGCGGCTCCTCCGTGGTCGTGTATTCCGGCAGCGATGTGAACGTCTGTACGCCATCGTCGGTGGTCATGATGGCATCCGCGTCAACCGAAATGGTAACCGTGTTCATTTCAAGACCACCCGAATACGTGGTCTCCTCCTCGTCTGGGCCCAGCGCTGCCTCTGTGCGAGGTTCCTCTGGGCTGGGCTCCGTAACAGGATCTATCTCAAGCGCTCGGGCCTGCGATTGCGCTGACCACATGATTGTCAACAGCAGCGGCAGCAGCAGCGCGATCATTGGCATGCGCGGCATTTTGGCGTGGAATGCGAGGGCAGCGTTGACAATGAATTTCTCGTCTTGCCAAACAGCACCAGCAGCAGCAGCAGCAACAATGCGAGCAATAACAAATAACAATAGTAAGAGACCGCCAAACGAGTCGCGCATTCACTTTGCCCCCTTGAGACTGGCTCCTGGCTCTCGACTGGTTAAATAT